AATGTTGATCCTGGAACAACCTTTAGTATGATGATCTGGGAACAACACCAACACGAGGATATCAGATCGTGCCCGTTCTTCTGTGCAGGATTTTATTTTTCTGAATCAGGGAGAATCTAAGAACTTTTTGATTTCCTTATCTGTTAAAATGCAGGTCAGTTATAAATCTGCTGATCAAATTCTTTCGAGCACAAATGTTGTTAGATTAACCCATAAAAAAAAAACAATCATGTCAGAGCGTCACAACGAAATCTCTGTTTAAACATTTAACATGAAATGTTCACGGTGACCCAAACGAGCCGATCTGGTGTGTCACCATCACGCCAGCTTTGTGTGTTTTGGGCTGTAAAATTCAAAGAAGAAATAAAAGGGACAAACGAACGGAGAAGAGTCTCGTGACCGTTTCTCTGACTGATCGTGTAAGAGCTCGGCAGGTGTATTTACCTGTCTGTCACTGAGCAGGTAGATGTACTGATGGTCAGGACTGAACACCATGTCTCTCAGAATCGGCTTCCCCTCCACCACAGTCACTGTCTCATACAGCAAAGCGTTCTCAGCTGGCGGCGGGATCCCATCCACGCGGATCTGAAACGAACACAAAAGGAATGACGATCATTAAAAACATCGACCTGTAAAAACAACAAGAAACGCTAACAAACTGGAAAATCACTCAGGAAGGAGCAAACGGAAACTTTTATTTTCAATTTCCAAAGAAAATTAAGTCAAACCCTCCGTAAGGATCTCCTCCATTAACACAGAGATTTTTAATATGCAGAAAATTTGTCTTTTCTTTATCTAGTGAAAAACCAGAGCCTCCATTTGAAATACGCTAATTTAACTTTTAATTAGGTCTTCCATACAAAGATGATTTTCTTCATTTATAAAAAGTCAGACTCGCTTTGAAAACCCGCCAGTTTAACACCCACAAGTCTTTCTATTGAAAATCCAACAATGAATCTAATGATTTACCTTCTGTGCTATTTTGTAGCAGAGACACAGTTTTTTTAACGAGAACAATGAAGTCAGAACGTCCACTCAAAATCTGAGTTAACTCTTAATTACAGAATTAAAGTGGAGATCCTTTTAAATCCAAAACAACATCAATTAAAAACCTAATTTAATCATTTTTTCCTTTAAAGAAATATTATTTCTATAATTTATTGGAAAATCTATAATCTAAAGCTAAACTTCAGCTAGAAATTTCATCAGTTCCAAATATTTTCCACATACCAGACGCGTGAAATAAAAATCTGTCTTTTTATTTTATATA